ATCGCAGACTCTGACACCCAGCTCAAAGTTGCGACGGAAAACATCAAGCGCTCGCACCCTGGTAGGAACTGGGCTTGCTAATACGCGTTTTTCTTACGGCTGAGCGCTGGTGACATGGTAAACGCTTCCTCGGGCCTTCATAAGACCGCAGAAATTTTTTTTGGGCCTTCTTCATATGGCTAAATGCCACTTTTAGTATGGAACACGCTACTCCCATATTTCACAGGAATGGATGGCCGCATTTCTAGATGGCATGCTACTCCGTGGAGAAGGCACATGCAGAAAAAAATTTGGAACAATTTATGATCAGCGATAGCCTAGTAAGCAGTAAAATGCTAATGCCTTCTCAAAAACCAGTTGCATAAATACGAACCCAATATAGCCAGATGGGAAGAACTAAGGGATGGCGAATACAAGGTTCGATCAAAAGCCAATCGATCACCCGAAAATCACTCAACCAAGTGTTTCAAATGGTCTACACCGCCCGAAAAGCAATCCAAAAAGGGGCGTGGCAGAAACCACCTACAACACCTTGCTAGATGTACGTTCACCCTTCAAGAAGTACTGGCTGACCTCTACCCGGGTGGCTTATCCGGACATTCCTGGTGAAGAAAGTTCACCTTTAAGCCCTGGTTTTGTGGTTTCACGCCCCCCCCCCCCCCCCCCCCCCCCCGCCCCCCGCCCCCCCCCCCCCCCCTTCCCTCTGTGTTCTTTGTCGTCGTGGTCGAGGCAACAGTCGAGTCGACGAAGGTACCAAAATCTAATTTGCGACAAGTGCGCATTTCAATGTACAATAGGCTGGTTTCACCTATGGGGAGAAACTCATTTTCAGTCCGCAATCACTCATGTCTGGCAGGTTTAACAGGGCAAATATAACGTTCCCCAGATAACTTTCTTTTGTTATTTTCAAGACTCCAGAATTCGTCAATACTGTGTTTTTTCACAATGATTTTTTCTATGTGCAGTAAAGGTTCATCCTTCTTCTCACAAAAGTAATCAGACACTTTTTCAACCATGTCTTTCCTTCCACTCGACTAACTAGGAGACCCAATGGTTCACGAACCTCTTCCCGGTCTGTCTGATTTCAAGCTACTATCGATCTCTTTTTCGCATCTTGCTTCTTTTCTGTATAATTCTAATCAATATTGCTACTACATATTGTACACTTGAAATGGCTGAAGGGCAGAATTCTGCCAGGATGCTCTTGAAGAGACCGCAAACATGAAAACATCTGGCGTGGAATTCGTTTCTTCGATTTCAACGGGAGCAGAATGCTTTTACATTTAGATCCCACTTCGCAGACCTGACCAAGTGAAGAATCCTGAATATAATACTCAGGGAATGACCTCACTTTGGCCCGAGAATAGTCAATACCTCATACAAAACCGCGCCCTTGGCATGTCCACTCGAGTCGTTACTTATCCTCGATTTTCAAAATTAGTGAGAATTTATCACTTCTGGGACAGCGGTCCAGAAAAAATTCGCGGCGCAATGTGGCTCGGGGGGGCACCTCGCAACATCGCGTCAAAATCACGGAAACGCTCCGTTTTAGGACTAAGCTTTTGAAGAGGAGAGGAACTCCGGTGTACGGAAGCAATTTCGTATTCTCCGGAGTTCGTCCCTGCTGTTTAGGCTTAGTCCTAGATGACTTTTTTCAGAGTACCCTGAGCCACATGCTGCCAAAAATTGACTCCAAGTTTCAGGAGCAGCGGCTTTGAGCGCCCTTCATGAATTTTGCCTTGCTCAATTCAAGGTGTTTTTTTCTCGACCGATACGAAGTTATTACGGTAAGGCCTGCGATGCTCTACGGCAGCGAGTGCTGGGCCCCTGAACAAGAATCACGAAAGGCAGCTCACTCTGCCGAAATGAGGATGCTGAGATGGGCCTGCGGCTGGACGCGGCTGGACAAGGTTAGAAACGAGGACGTCAGAGCGGTCATGCAGACTGCCCCTGTCCAGCTAAAGGTACGAGAACAGCGTCTGCGATGGTATGGGCATGTGCTAAGGAGGCCACAGGACCATCCGATAAGAACAGCGATGGACTTCGAAGTACAAGGCAAGCGACCGCGAGGAGCCCCGAAGAAAAGGTGGAAAGACGTAATCAAGAAGGACCTAGGTGAGGTCGCGGCCACGATGGAAGATGCCCTGGACAGAGCAAAGTGGCGACGGCTGACAAAAACAGCGGACCCTGCGACTGCGCGGGACTAACGCTAGGGAGAAGAAGAAGAAGAACAAGTTCTGTCCGTTCAGTAGTAATGGCATTAGGAGGATAATCCCTGCAAAAAACGCAGTGCGAATGCATAAAGTACACAAGTACGCATGATGGGCAATCTTTGCGGGACTGTGCCTTCGCACCGGATAGAAGGGTTCAACTGCCGCCGACGGTAAACTAACAAGAGGCATGATCGTGAACGTCGTCGTGCTAGGTTCCAGCGAAAGCAGAAGCATGCTAGCAGCGATGACCTTGTAACAGGACAGTGGATTGAGGCACACCTAGAGTGGTGTTGAAGCTGCGTCGTGGCAACTGCAACAAGTCAGTTTTAGTTAGCGAAGCTTTTCTCCGCATTATTCGTTCGTAGAACACCGGTCGTGGGAAGTCTCCAAAAAGAGTCCGAGCCAAACAAAGCAAAGGGGAAAAGTAAATATCTCTGCTCCAGTTGATTGATGATGAAACATAGTGCAGCCAGACTGTTTCTCGAGGACTGGATGACTCGTTCACTTCCTGCTTGTGCTGCTATTCATAAAGGGCATAGGGTTCTTACAAAATTGGCTTATGTTGCATAGTTTCTCTTTTTAATGGGATAATTTTTCGCAAACCCACCTGCATTGCGTTTCATTTTAATCTTAGCACGCGAACCATAACAACAAGAATTGACCAAATATGTGCAGATGAGCGAAAAATCCTTGAGCGGAAGTTTACTTTAGTTAACCCTTAATTTTCATCTGCAATAGAAATTCCATCTAGGCATGTCTTCACCGCCTGTTCGTCCGCGACATGTGCTCAACGATGCGTCCTATTTTCACTCCGAAAGCCCGGAACTATGGTGGCCGCGAGTCAAAGAATTTGAAGATCCCAGTTACGAGTTGTGGGTAGAATCGTCGAAATTCATCCAGCGGAAGAGTTCGCAAGACTCAAGCGCCCTCTCCCCCAAAAGCTTACAAGGAGGGTCTTCAGGTCATAGAGCGCTTTCCAAAATGATTTGCTGCACTTGTAGAGACTCATGCGAGCCATTTTTCCTAAACACTTCTGGGAACCTCAAAACAGTGGTGAAGAAATGGTCCAAAGTTCAATCCGCCGTGGTGACAAATTTTTGCAATCCATGTTGGAGCCTCCAAATTGTCGCCAAATTACGAGGATGACATGTTAATCGACGCTGGTGCCATTTGGACACAATTTGGAGGCGCCAACATAAATTGCAAAAATTAGACATCACGGAGGATCGAACTTTGGACCATCTCTTCTCCACTATTCTGACCTTCCTAGAAGCGTTCAGGAAAAACGGACCATGGTTTTGTGTTCCTCGCATGAGTCTCTACAAAGTGCAGGAAATCATTTTGGAAAAGCGCTCCATGTCCTGAAAGACCTCCCTCGTCAGTCCTGATTCGCGAATTTATCAGTAGGAGAGGATACAGAACGAGCAGACAACTGGACGCAAACAGACCCAGAAATGGGCAAAATTAATCGGTATTATTGCGTAATCGGGGTATTAAAGAACTCCCCCCCCCCCTCATATACAAGTCTACAGCGGATTTGATGAAAACAGCCCTGGCGCTAAAATGGCGCCAATTGGCGCCAGATGGCTCCAACGCCAAAAATGAATGGCGTTTTGGGCTTTGGAATTACCTCTATGGGCAAAGTTTCGACGGAGACTAAAATTTTGATTTGTTTTGGATAGTGCCAAAGAGAGTTACGGCCGAAAATATAGTTCTAAAAGACTTTTTGGGTGCTTACTTCAGAGAAACTTTCGTGTTCGCAGCGTAAAATGCCCGGATGAAGAGAAAAAGCACATATAGTGCAAGGCAACATTCAGAAAAACCGAATTAAAGCGGAACAGAACAACTCCACTCCAACAACATTGAGGGGGGGGGAAAAAAACACGGGATCCACACATAATACGGTATTGGGATATTATAACTATTACAGTTATATAACTCTTATACAAAGATTTATGGAATCATTTTAGTTTGAGTGCAACCTCGATCTCCCACACTCCTCTCGTCATCCAAGCGCAGGCCCCACCTAGCACTCCACCAACTACAAATGCTCGCGCTGCATGGCGCATGCGCAAGCCGACTGTAAACCCAAGCCTCAGTCTTTTACCGCTCACGCCGCGTCCAGTCCGCCCCAGTTACCACTTGACTGCTATCAGTGCTCTCGCACTGTCACGAGCCTAGTCAATTACTGCACCCAGGCGCTCCAAGGGCAATGTTGCTGTGAAAGGCCGCGCCAAACAAGAAACACCCGTCGTGCGCGCAGCGGTCGCGATGCGGATTCTCCCGTACAGTTAATCTTCTTCTTGTTCTTACAACCTTTAGTTGGTATCTTATCGCTTGACTTCTGGATTAACCATCCCGTAAAGCGATTGAACAGTTGGCGACTGTCCACCTATGTAATTTCTTCGATCTATGGATCGCTCTATTTTTCTCAGCGCCGTCTCACTGCCATAATGGACAAACAGGACGGCGTTCTTCGGCCCATCAGCCACTACGGGGAAACTTCAATGAAGGCATGTATCACACGACGGCCCCATAATAAATATAATAATTATTAATGACCTTCTCCATACCACTCTCTTCCCATTCAGCCCCACCTAGTGTGCCCCCTGGTAACCATGCTGTAATGGAAAAGTGAACGAAGCGTCAGCATACCCCGCCTCGAGAAAAAAAAACACCAAGACTAATTGAACTGAGTCCAGCGTAAAGCCATGAATCAAGTAGGAATTGGACTTTGCGCGCCAAGATAAGAAAAAACAAAGATGCCGTACAAAAAGGATAACGTACAGCTCGAGCACCAGAAATGACGTCACTCGGGGTCTCGTAGACTTCGTGCAGCTCGATCACATTGCTATGACCGCCCACGGTACGTAGCACAGACACCTGAATATTGCTGGTAAAGGTACAACATTAGAACAATGATAACGGCTCGTCTAAAGCATACTAAGCACCGAATATTGGTTAGAACTTCAATACAGTTTACAAAATGATTGGGTTTATTTATTTTTCATTAAATTGAAAACAAGAGAATAGAAGAATTCTTAATATGACTCTTGCTTTTCGAGTGTAAAAGCAATGGTGAGAAATGGGTCGGCAGTAAAAAAAGGTAGAGGATCCGTAATCCGGAGAAGCTAAGGTTAAGCTGCTAACATCTGTACTAAGGCAATGATACGCTGAGCACAGAAAGGAGAGAGCGCAACAAATAAGAGGTGCCAGACACTGTGAATGGAAAGAAAGAAGCGGTTGAAGCGGTCTTTGGGACATGGTCGTGCTAGCGCCCTGTCGGGCACGGTAGTGCCACATGTGTGATTGTCTTCTAGAGGGCAATCCCGCAGACCGAAGAGTATCCCTCACAAGGGTTCGTGCCTGGTTTGTGCCTTTGAAAGCCCTGGTTGTGCCTTTGAAGGCATCAAACCCGGGCGGAGGTCGCCGAAGGTCGCCATCATTTCCAGAGCTGTCTGTCAACAACGACTTCGAGAAACTTTTACATAAATAAGTTCAAAATAACGAGTGATAATATCATTCTCCAGCCATCTCACGCCTGAGCACTACTAAGTGAACAGAGCACCGAAAATAAAGAGCTCGGCCGATGTAAAACTGCTTACAAAAAGCTTAGCGCCGGCCTTTAGCGCGCAATCTGAGCTTACTTTAGCAGTTCTAAGAAATGGATTTCACTTCACTAGCACTAACACCCGTATCGGAAAACAGCTTCTTCGGCGTGTCGCCCCCCTTCCCCCAGGTGAATTTAACTGCATCTTATAAGGAAGTTCACCCCAAGAAGGTTACAAGCTGAGACGCAATGTGGGCTCGGGGGGGGGGGGCACTCTGAGAAAAGTCATCTAGGACTAAGCCTAAACAGCAGGGACGAACTCCGGAGAATACGAAAATTGCTTCCGTACACCGGAGTCCTCTCCTCTTCAAAAGCTTAGTCCTAAAACGGAGCGTTTCCGTGATTTTGACGCGATGCGATTTTAGAGAGGTGTCGCGACCCCAACCACATGTTGCGCCAAGCTGATTTTCGGATTAGACGCAACGGAAGTTTGGAATATCCAAATGACATGAGAAATAAGAAAAACCGGAAAAGAAAGGGATATTGAAGAAACGAGTAAATATGAAAGAAACGATAAAATCGATAAAAGTAAGCAAAATTTTGATGAATATCTATGAAACTTCTTGAAATCAGTGGATTTAGTAGCCCACCTCGCGTTCGATGTTCGCCCTGGTGACACCGCGTCTCGATGTTGCATATCGTCGTTTCTTGATAAACTTCGCCGCAAATTCTTCGCCGGTGGCTTTTTTCACAACTTTTCGCACCACAGCAAACTGCCCGCTGCAAAATTCGTAATTCTTCGTCATAATGTATGCTCGGGAAAAAAATGAACCCGAATTATTGGCGAAAAAAGACCTCGATAAACTCGTTCGATTGATACAATTAACTAATCACACAGTGCATTGAACTGAGTCCTTCTAAGCTAGCTCAGAAATAAAAATGAGATTTAAATAAAACAGGCTGGGTCAGAAATTTGTGGCAAAAATTAGATTCCGATTCCTGATGTTAAACATTGGCCACAGTTCTTCCAATGAGTCGAAGAGAGAGGGATTATTTTGGTGCCTTCATGTGGTAAGTTATTACAATAATGTCGCTTAAAAAGGCATCTTAGGTCTTAAGACAAAACTAAAATTGCGCTTAAGAGCTGAATACACACTTTTTGAGACTTTTGAGCTTACAACGATATTATGGTGGTGGCAAAAAATCCAATCGGCAGCGCCTCACCTGCCGAGTTCATCGCCCACGTCAAAGACGGCGTCAAACGGGGCCTCGTTGAATTTTATCTGTGGTTCCTCCGAGCCGAGGCTTTGATGCCGGCGCAGCTCGTCCCGCATTTAGTCGCATTAAATGTGTGTGAGGAATCGATCAATGCCTATCACAGTCTGTCTGGCTTCACGTATCGACTTTCCTGAAAAACCGTCGGAATAAGATGAACTCAATTTTGGAAAAAAATCTGTCGAGATAGGATAACATTACGCGATCGAGTGTAAGGTACTAGTGGCAGAAAAAAGCCATGGAAGGCTGGATCAAGCAAACATAGTGAAGAACAAGTAAAAAGGAACGAAGGGCGATGTTCGGATGCGCCATGCGTTCGCCACCTGTATGCGTGTAGGGGCAAGCATTGTGAAAAGGGCTATCTATAAAAAGAGGAATCTAGCCGCGACAAAAACTTAAATTTGAATAGAGCCGACTCTTGCAAACAAATTTCCAATTGGATGACTAAATTTGAAAAAAGAACAATAAGCAGAGGAAGAAAGAAAGGAAAAGAGGGATATTAGGAAGAGTAAGGATGGCTTGGCTAAAGTCACTGATCGATGTTCATTTCAGTGTTTCTATTTTTTTTTACCATACTTCTTTTTTTTAAACTATACACCATGTGACTGACCCAATAGAGGCAATAAGTCAAGTTGGTACGGTAATAATCAATCGAAACCAAAAATTTGCAGATTAGCTATCCTAAACTTTAATCAAAGAGGGATGGGATAGAAATGTCAGATTAGGATAATAAAGCTGATAACGATAATCACTCACAGTAAAACAGTCCATCTCCATTTTCACTGGCCAGCGATAATATCTTAAGACCCGAGAACTGAGATTAAGAACCCTAGCCAGGAAAAAGCTTGAAGCGTTGAGAAATAACGAGGGAGGAATGGGGGGGGAGGAGTAAATCAAGGCGCTGGATCGACTTCCGTTCCACAGATGCCTTTCGACAGAAGGTAAGTGTGAAAATGTCCTCCCCCGTGTCCTGCTCCCACTGTCACCGCGGCTAGAGCCTAGGTGCCATCAAACTTCCTAACAAATAGATCCTACTAGGGTGTGTACAAGGGAAAAGCCCGCAAGCGGAAAAATGACATGGAAACGTATTGAAAGACACGGATAGTTGTCGTGTAGCACAAACACAAAAGATGTGGAATTCTGAGTCATGGTGGGTTGTACAACACGTCAACGTTAACCGCGCGTTGACTATAGCTTCCTTTTCGGGTGTATTGAGAAAAATGAGACCTGAATACCGCTAAGATTAGGCGACAGCTAGGGCAGGGGCAACAAACAAAACGAAACAAAGGGCCGAATTTAGGAAAAGAATTAAATTCCACTAAAAGCACCATAATGTTGATAATGTACACGGCGTTTACAAGGCTTGTAGCATATGAGACACGATTATAATCAAAAAATCAGAGGAAAAATATAAAAAAAATTCAAAACAAAATTCAAGTCAGTACATGAGACGACAGAAGTACATGAGACGAAATTCAAAAACAAAGGTGAATTCTGAAGTAACCACCTGTTTCCAACTAATGACTTGTACGGTTTGATGAATTTTTGAAAAAAGGCATGGGCAGGAACTGATTGAATTTAAATTGGATGAAAAAAATACGGGAACATACTTTGGTCACTTGATTCCCTGGAATTCAAAAAGAGAACGTTGTCAGAAAGATAAAAATTGGCTATTCCTGGCGACAGTTATTGCTGCATGCGATTCGGCATTTATCGTGGGATAAAATTCGTAGATCCAAGTATTTATTGCTAGAATTCTCCCTATTCAATCGAATGGACGTGAGAAAACGTTGAAGTGAATATAATTGTTAGAAACTATAAATCAAAGAGGAATAATTCATTCAATATAACGGACTGAGAAAAAATATGATATGCTTATGCGAGGCTTTGTTACCATCAAAACGAGAAAACCCGAAGGGGGTACAGGTCGCTGGGTCTACTAGATTTCTGGGACTGCCACAAATTCGTGCTTCTTCAGAGCATTTGCGCTACTTTAGCGCCTATTTAAGCTACAAATGGATCGTGCGGTCGATGAATGAATCAGCGCTTTTAAAGATGCTTCTCCTGTGAATACCGAAAAATCATCAAAATGAATTTCTGCCATCATTGCAAGATCAATTCTTTAATTTTTTTTAAATATACAAATAAATTTAATTCGGAGCCAACGTTTGCACCATGGGATGGCACCAGGTGAAGGCAGTAACAGCGGCGCCGGTGCTATCGCACGAGGTAAGCAAACCAGCCCTTTTGGCGTTTCGGCTGGGACCGTATGCTGAATGTTGGGGAGGGGATGGGGTCCCCAACGGTCGACGGTTTACTTCAACTCGGTTGGTACGATAGGAGAGTACTGACGCAAGTGGTGCAGCTGGTCCAGCAGCTCCGCCAGAAGGGCTGGTTTGCTCACCCCAGGACTAAGCCTTGGAGAGGGACGGACCCGTCCTCTCTTTAAGGCTTAGTTCTGAGGTAAGCACCAAATTGTGGCGGTTCTAAGGACCGAGTTGAAGTGGTCCGTCCACCGTCGGGGACTCCATCCCCTCCCCAACATTCAGCATACGGTCCCAGCCGAAGCGCCAAAAGGGCTGGTTTGCTTACGTCCCCTCAGGCTCCTCACAGGGGGACAGAGAGAAATACACTTGAAGGAACTATTATAGTACACTACTACATATAGGGCAAAAAGTAGAGGCCATGGATCGCTCTCTACTAAAGCCAATACAAATCTTGGATGAGCCTCAGAAAGAAACGGTAGTAATTCGGCGTTAATACTCAAGAAGGCCGTTAATTCAGGAAAGCTCTTATGGTTAGAAATAATCAGACCAGCTCCATGCAAGCAGTCCGACTTCCTTAAGAGAAGGAGCGTGACCATAGCGCTCTATTGAAGCCGTCGAAAAGAGGCTTCATTCTCGAGATTATGACTTAATTCCCAATAAGTCCAGCTCACGATCGTGAGACCGTCGTTGTAATAGATGCGACTGGTGTAATTGGGAACCACGACATCATAACGCTCAAAAAAAAACAAGAACTATTCTGAAGTTAAAGTGCAGAGCTTCTCGGTAGGGCCAAAAGCCACTATGTACGTTGTTGTGTACAGATATGTAAGCATGAATATAGGTATAAAAAATAAGTGAGTAAATAAATAAATGAATAAATAAATGATAGGGTGGGCATATAGAATAATGGAAATAAATATACATAACTCTTGATATCAGCAAAAAGCATAGGTGCGCCCTCAAGTTATTGAGCCAGACTGGTCACACAGCGATCAAACCTCCACCACCTCGCACTGGCGGTATATTCGGTGACGCAGGTGCCCGAAAAGGTAGTGAATAAACAAAAAAGTCAAAATTAATAAGTGCCTCCGAAAAAAATTGTGGTGTACACACTTCCCCCAAAGCATTGTTTCGCCTAGACCGTATTAGAAGGTGACGAAAAGAAAAACTTTCTGAAACGTCAAAATTGAAAAAAAATAAACAATAAAAGCGATACCGTTGATGTGATGGTGTTTAAGTGTAGTTGTACGTTCTCCTTTTTTTTTGCTTGTTTATATCCTTTTTTATTTTCTTCATCACATCATCATTTCAGTCACCACTATCATTATATCATCATCAAACAAATTCAAAGCGAAAGCAGAGCATTTAGCGAATGCGATGACCAACTGGAGGAGAAACTGTTCGTTTTACAGATGATGATTCCTTATGGATGACGTAATAACTTCGTATAGCGATTCCATGCTACGAATATGAACTCACAAATTTCTTTACCTCATTCATGGGAAGAGGCCAGAGGAGTTGTTGTGATATGGAACATACAGGGGGGGGGGGACAAAAAAAAAGGCATTTTGTCTCCAGACTCATATGGATTTAATCCCATTTGCTCAGCTCAAAGCGTGTGCTCCCAACTAAAATTGTGAGCGCATCATTCATAAGAAACATTCATATGCCATTACTGGACGGCAAGAAAAGTTTGTCCCGAACAGGGTGCTCTGTCAAGCAAAGTGGGTTTGTGACTGATCGTGTACCGCACGAACGTTCGAAAGGGTTCCGAGGGTTATGAGTTAATTCCCGAACTATCCTACTGAATCGATCCAAGAAATTATGTAAGAGCTTCAGGCTGAAGCAGTTACTGTAGGCCTCCCTGAGCTCGACGACGGTGACAGATGACGTCATATTCTGAAGACGGTGAGGGTAGTGAAGGAGGGCCTGCGTGTACTTATAGAGGGACATTTAGGGAATATTTTGCTGAGGAACATCCGTCAACGACGGCAATCTCTGCGAAGAAAAAAGGCCGAAGTGCGACCTGGGCAAAATGTCTTTTTCTCCCCCTTTAATATGTAGCACCGATTAAGTGATAAGAGTTCTTTAAGAAGGCGCTTGTCACATTCTAGCAATCAAAATTACAGCGGAAGAAAATAAGTTAAGAACACTCGAGAGGCTCACTCTAGTAAGATTGAGTAAAGGGAGTTAGGGGAGTGTGCAGAGGAGAAACATGGTTAATCAGCCAAATCAGCCCAAGCACACCTAACCAGTTTAATGTTCTGTCAACAGCTGTTCAGCACGATCTCAACTTATCCTAGTTGGATTTTCAGGTAAATAAAATAATAGATCGAAGGATTGTTCACAGTAATTGGTTACTGTTAAGTGAATGAGAATGAAACAGAGACATAAGAACTTGAGAAGTACAAAAATCAGTAAATAACCCCAAGAGAAATAAAAATAATGAAACAGAATAAAACGTATTGAAATGAAATATATAGGTGTAAGAAAAATAATAATTGATTATTTGGACGATTTCAATCGAGTATTCGATGAAAAAACAAGAACTTATCACGGAATCCTTCTCAATCCTGCCGAGATTCAGTTTTTCCTCCCCTTGGGGTGAAACTAGAGCTCCATCTCATCGATGTGCCAGATGTCTACATAATTCAATGATTCAAAAAACTATATAAAACATTGTTCATAGCCCTGAAGGCACATTGCGGGACCACATCATCTAGACAGCGGGATCAAATATGAAGCAATACGTGCGACGTAACCAAAAATGAAAAAATATCATCGAAACTTCG